CAATCACATCTACTTGGTGAACAAAGGAAGCAAAGAGTTTACAGCAAATGAGCTGCACATCGCAGGGTTTGGTCGGGGAAGCTTCCGCATTGTGAAGAATGATGCTGATTTGCCAGATGGGGCCATTGAGCTTTCCTTCAGTGGCCACACCGATGTTATCCACTTCAATGGTTCCCTCACAACAGTGGGAGAAGTGCTGAAAGAGCTACGGAATCGCAATCCCGATTGCAAAGTGTGCTATTTCAAATTGAAATTTGCTGAAGATGGGAATCCACATGCTTTTGAGCTGATTCGAACACACCGTGTAGTGTTTGTTCCCCGCCCAGAGGAAAAGACCAGCGAGATGAAAGAGATGAATGCTGCAGCCCGTGAACCATTGCAAGTGTGGAATGCGTCCCAAGCAGCCAACATCTTCTGGGTGATGAAATTTTCATCAGTGAAAGGCCTGATCCCAGTGAAGCCGGCTGTCTATTTGAAGGGCCATTGCTCCGTGGGGCCCGGACAAGCCTTGGTGATCAGCAAACCTTGAGTTTTGCACCTTCCCATTCTCCAAGATGAGAGCCAGAAGCATTGGGTGAATCATTTGGCCAAGGCATTCTAGAACATTGAAAATCCAGTCTAGAACATTGAAACCCATCCTAGGCATCAAACCCCATTTTAGAACATTGAAACTCATAGTTTGTATTTTTTGAGTTTATATACATAACATCATATCTTGTGTGTTTTGCAAGCTAGTGCCTGGCCGAGATTCGACAGATGGCTTCCAATACCATTTGGACATTTGGACATGCCCGAGAAAAAAAATGCGCTGTTCTGGATGTTGTGAGAGCTGTGTTCAAATGCGTTTTTTGTCTGAAAGTGACAAATGCTACACCAAATGGTTGTCATATTCTGGCCAGCCATCCTTTGGATGATCAGCCAAGATGTTGACAATCATCTGGTTTATTTGAGATCTTTTGGTTCAAAGCAAAACAACAATACAAAAACCAACCATCTCAAACACAAATAAGCAGCAGTTCAAACTCAAAAAACAAATATTAAAAAACACCAACAACACCATTTACAGTCATTTCTTTTCAACAGCACAAATGGGGCTTCTAACTCTATTGCACCCTTGGTTGGTCCTATCTATATACCTTCACTCAACCGCAAATGCCACAGTCACATTAGCATCACACAAAGCCAGGAGCCATGTCGACCACTGAAAGTCCGTCAACTTCAGAACATGACACTGCACTTGGTATGGATGATGTGATGTCAGAAGTTACAGATCTGGAGCAAGATGATCCTTCGCAGGATGTGCCTCATGAAATCCTTCAACGAAGAGTGTCAACAGCTTTGGGCAACGCTGGCTTTACTCCAAGCAACCTGGCTACACCGAGACCTGCAACTACCACAGTGTTGACAGTGAATGAACGTGCCAATGATCCCAGGGCACCTTGGAAGAGAAAATCGACTGCACCAGCACCAGTCCAGCAACTGACTGAGAAGCAGCTACAGAAATGGAAAAGAGACAAACAAAGAAAAAACAAACGAGAGAAGAAACGGCAAAAGAAAAAGAAATTGCAAA